GCTGAGCTAGAGTGCGGTGCAAACACACGAACCCTAGCTGCGGGCAGGAATAATATCAGGTGCATCTCTACGCCCCGAGGGCTCAACTCCTACACTTAAATCCCTCCCACTGGGAGAGCCGGCTCCAGTTTCACCTGCAGTCAGTGAGAACAGGTACTGCTTCTCCAGCACCGTCAGCACCTCAGCGACAGCCAGCCGACCTCAGCACCTCCCCAGCGGGTAAGTACTTGGGTTTCTCTTAACATCTAAGTTTTCTCTCTAAATGACTTTCCCCTCGGAGAGGGTCTGGTGGAGGGCTTCTCTGTGCGAGGACTCCGTTCTCTCCAGGGATCCCGCAGCGCCAGCAGGTGCACCGCGGGAGAGAGCTTCGCTCTCCCTGAGAGAGACCCAGCTGAAGGCTCACCTATGCCCTCCCTGGAGCATAAATGACACCGAAGTTCAACACGGAAGTGCCATATATGCACAGGAAGAAAGACATGATTCAGAGAATGTTACTGATTTTAATGTCTACTTTCTTCCTTTTAAAACCTTTTAAAGTTTGAAAGAAATACTTTTGAAGTATGTTTAGAAAAAGAAAGTCTGGCAAACAGATTCCCTCTGTCTAGAAAGATCTGATGCAGTTTTCCTTTCTTTATTAAGCAGGTCATAAATCTGCACGAAACCAATTTTTGGCTAAATCTGACCAAAGCCAGATTTCAGTTGAGTACAAGGTGTGTACGTCTATCACAGCATGCTATACTGAGTCTCAGCAGCCAGCCTGATTGCTGCAGTGCCGGGGAAGCAGGGCACGGCACTGGTGGGTGCCAGCAAGCAGCCAGGTGGGAGGCTGAGGCGGGGGCCTGGGGCGGGGACCCACGGCAGGGGCCCACAGCAGGGGCCTGGGGCATGGCTGGGGTCTAGGATCCATCCTTGCAGGCCATGGCCCAAAAAACAGCATTCCCCTAAGTGTGGGCTGGTCCCTCATTCTAGAGAACCGAAAGTCTACAGGGAGTGGTGGTTAATCGCTGGAAAAGCTCAATTGGAATAAAACTCACAAATCTTGTTCTTGCAACACCAGTGGGTAGGCGACAGCGGCGTGTCCTTGAGTTATGCAATCACGCCACATCACAATATTGTAATTATAGCATGCCCTTCACAGCCTCTGCCCGCTGAGGCTCCTTGCCAGACAGCCGGACACCTCCGAGGGGCGGTGCAGCCTGTTGCAGGCTCAGGTGAGCCGGGCAGTGAGGGCCCAGCCTGTCACAGCTGTGGCCTATAAACTCAAGCTGTAATTACCTCATAGTGCCCTATCAAGGTTCTTAAGAAAACAGCCTTTTCATCTTTCCTTCAACGTGTAGGCTGCTCAGAGACTTTCGAAGCCAGCGGCTACTCGCTATCACCCCAAGAACTGGCAGTCACACTAACTCACACTAACCGTCCACACTCGGGAGCTGAAGACAGTCGCAGCTTAGGTAGTTTGGTGCTTTAAACACAAGATAAACAGAGCCAGCGGCCAACCAAAGCCTCAGACTGGGAGCTGGGAGCAGTTTCACAAAGGCAGCCCTGGGCGCCAAGCCCACACAGGACAGGCCCCCCGCCACAGCTCTCCTTCACAAAGTCGGTCAGCACAGGCCCGGGGCAGCCACCAGCCTGCAACTGGGCAAAGGTGTTACCACATGTGAGAAGGCAGATGTGGCAGGGATGCCCGGGGCCACCCACACTGGCCGGGTGTGGTCAGGCCACCGCAGTCCTGTGGTCATCAGGGCATACAGCACACAATGGGCACTAGGACTGTTTCATTTCAGAACCACCCAGAGTGGCCCTCAGGGGTCTCTGTGCTAGGCCTTCTGCCATATGGACCTTGGAGACAGGGAGCAGCCCTGATCACCACCCTAGGGCTGAACAGAGGTCCCTCCCCAATGACTGTGGCAGGATGGGAGGAACTGCATCACAGAGCCCTTCTTCCAGGACAGCACCAGCTCCCAGTCTAAGGGGTAAGAAAAGCACAGTTCTAAGAAACCCCACTCCACACACAAATCGAGCATACACCATGCCCAGACAGCGTACATGACAGCCACGGGCTGAGAATCTGCTTGACCAGAAGCAGGACCTATGGAAACAACCCACTTATTAGCACCTTTAGAAATACTTCACCCCTGGATGCAAATTCACACTCAGGATAAACAGTTAAAGCTCTGGATTATTGTTTTGGCAACAATATCCTTTTTCTCAGAATATTTACCCCACAGCTGCAGGACTGGACAAAGTCTAACAGGTCTAAACCGACCAGGCAGAGCCATGTGGAGGTGCACAGTGGCCAGGCGTTATTCAGGGGTGACGGGGGCCAGCAGTCAGGTCATGAGTGAACCCCAAAAGAAAGCTCATCATTCTCATGGCTGTGTTTTCATACCACTGCCCTAGCCAACCTGGGGCTACTCCCAACTCCAGGTCCTCAGTGGCTTTTTATCCACTGCTTGCTATCTCCCACAGGACGGGGGCCCACAGGCTGCTTCCTCCTTAAAACATGCCAACCTGCCAGAGGGTGGAAGGCGGGCAGCTCAGACCAAGACTTGGCGTCTGGTTTAAAGTGTGTGGCTGCTGCCACCCTGGGTTCTCCCCTTCGCTCTCTCTGTGCTATGAAACCTGGAAACATTCATCCAACCCGTGTCTGTGTGCTGGCTTGCCTCGCCCGAAAGAAGAGCCACCTAAGTGCTCTCAGGCCAGCACAGGCAGGGCCCCTTCCTTGCACTGAAGGAAGCAGTTGCACATTTGCTTTGAATTTGGGAACCAGAGGCAGCTCCCTGGCCTCCACTTTGCCATCGCAGATCCTGGTTCACAACTGATAAGCATTTTGCAACTGTCACCTTTTTTGTCATGATGCTTTTTGAGCAGTGGTGAAATCATCTGCTTCCAGGTCTGTGCCATGACAGATCCTATACGACCATGGGAACCTGACTGGTAGAGGTTCTCACGCCCTCAGAGCCGGTGCAGTGGGGCATGCCTGCACACGCCCGCGAGGGTGAGCCAGCCAGCCCTGGGCCAGGAGCCGGCTCCCTGCTTCCTCCAGAGGCAAGTGAGCGCGTCATGCAGCACCTGGGCACCTCAAGTCAGGGCTGAGAGCAGACAGAAAGGCTCAGTGAGTGGAGAGCAGACAAGGCACGCAGTTACCAGCATGTGCAGGAACTGGAGTAGAGTTGGGGCACAGTAGGGAGGGGACAGGATGCATCTTGACCTCTGGTCAGGAGCAGGTGGTACTTCTTCCAGGCGTGGGCAGAGAAACTAACTGCTCCAAGGGCTGGTGTCTAGTGCCTTGCAGTGCACAATGTCTCCTCCGTCCAGAGCCCAGGGTTCCTCTCACTGTCACCCAGAACCTACCAGGCAGGGGGCTCTCCTGAGCCCCTTTTTATTGAACCATCAGTCTCAGAAAGAACTGACCACAGAAGTGGACACCAACAGAAGCAATCTGGGGAAGGAGGACATTATTCTTTGTATTTTTAAGATATATGAATGAACAAGCAGAGAAACCAGTTTGCTTAGAACAAAATCAGATAGCCGTCAGAGACTCTGAGGCATACAAAATGCACGTGAAACTCCCACTCCCCAACAGGTGGCTGAGGGAGGGGCACCAGGTAGCACCTCGGGTAGGGGGAGAAGCTCCTGGATGCACCTAAGGTGGGAAGAGGGGTGCCTGATACCACTTCAGGTGGGGACAGACACTCCCAGTACCACCTCAGGTAGAGGGGAGGGTGCTCATGGTAGCACATCAGGTGGCGGAGGGTGACTGGTTCCATCTCAGGTGGGGGGAGACATTCCCAGCACCACCTTAGGCGGGGGGAGAAGTGCCTAGTAGCACCGAAGGTGCAGGGAAGTACAAGGCCTCATTTCCTTCACTTATTCCCACTAAATATTTTCAAGATTCCTTAAATCTTTCTTAAAAGCTCCTTACCCGCAGCGTCCCACCCACACCCATCTCTCCAGGCTGGCAGGGATGGAAGGGGCCCTTTGTTCTAGGCCTAAGGCACCTGGAGCCCAGGAGCACAGTGAGGTATAAGAGGGCAGGCAGGGGTGTCCTGAAGACCCAGGGCTTCCAGCTGGGGTGACTACCAGGACACTGGAGTCCCTACTGGAGCCCGTCCAGCCCAGGCTCCTCCTAAACGCTCTGGAGGACCAACGCAACCATACCTTGATGCGGTTTGCGCGCAATGGCCTCTGCTTGCCTCTCAGCACCCATACCACACCTGTACTCCTGATCAGGACAGGGTGACCAGGGCCACGGTGGCTCTCACAGGCCACACTCACACCCTCCAGGCCACCATCCATACAACTGGTCTGCTTATTCCCAGAGAGAGCAAGCCATGGGTGGGCCTGTCGTTACCACCCTCCCTCTGTTTTTCTCTGCTGGTATATGCAGGAGGCACAGTGTGGTGGACAGGCAGGTCCTTCCTTCTTTGACAGGCTGGGAAGCAGAGTCGCGTGCCACACTGGCCCATCTATGCCATCCACACAAGCGTACGTGCACCGTACTCTACCTGCCCAGGGTCAGAGAGAGCTTCTCTCTGTCTTCCATGGAAAAGGGAGCAGCACCAGGGGCCCAGGGCTACCACAGAGGTCCTGACACAGAGAGAGGGGCTAGAGGCCACCTGGGACTGCAGCCTCATCAGGTGTGCCCAGAGCGCACGCCAACACTCAACATCACTCCTGCCTCGGTCATCCCTTGGGTCAGACATGCATACCCAGGGCTCTGTCCACATGATGCATGGCCCTGCGTGCTGGGGTCAGGCTGGTGGGAGGCTGGGAGGGAGGGCAGCATGTCAGACATCCCAGGACACACCTGAAAAGGCTGTGCTAACAGTCCACTCCTCTCTGCAGCTCTCCTATGTCCACTCAGGTTCGGGAGCACTGGCTGCGGATGGCAGGGCTGTGAAAGGACAGCTCACACACACACACAAACACACACACACGCCCCACGTAGACGCGGCCCCACGCAGAGACGGCTGCAGGAGGCAGACGCGGCCGCGGAGATGAGCCTCCTCAAGGAGCGCAAGCCCAAGAAGCCGCACTACATCCCCAGGCCCCCGGGGAAGCCCTTCAAGTACAAGTGCTTCCAGTGCCCCTTCACCTGCAACGAGAAGTCACATCTGTTCAACCACATGAAGTACGGCCTCTGCAAGAACTCCATCACCCTGGTGTCTGAGCAGGACCGCCTGCCCAAGTGCCCCAAGTCCAGCCTCACCGACTCCAAGCAGTCGAGCCCAGTAGATGCTGCGGCCAAGCCACTGTCTGCTAGGACAGCCACAAATGGGCTCTCAACCTTTGATCCCAAGCTCCAGCATGGCATTACCAAGGAGGCTGTGAAGGAGAACCCAGATCTGCAGGCACGCATGCCCCCCAAGCCACCAGCGCTGCACAAGGACACCACACCATGCAGCCCAGCTCCCGACGCCCCGGGCCCACCGGTCCTAGATGCCGTGGGCCGGCTATCAGCCTTCGTACCCGTGGGAGAGCACAGACTCAAGGTGCCCGAGCACCCAGAAGCCACAGAGCTGCTGGCACTGCCAGGCCCCACAGCCAAGGCCGCCTCCTTCCACACCAAGTCTGCATTCCACGCACCCAGCTACCCATGGAAGGCTGGCTCGCCTTTCCTCCCACCCGAATTCTCCCACAAGATCCCGTCCACAAAGGGGTTTGGCCCCATATCCCCCTATGTACAGCCACCTCTCCCAGAGTATCCTCCTCACTTCTACACGGAGCACGGACTGGCGACGATCTACTCCCCCTACTTGCTGCCCAGCACAGCAGCTGAAGGTGACAGTGCCCTGCTGTCCATTTATGGGGCCCAAGACCAGAGACACTGCCTCCCGCACCCCGGGGCCCTCCCGAAACACCTGAGCACACCTCCGTCCACCTATGACCACTACAGGCTCTTCCAGCAGTACCACGCCAGCCTGCCCTTGCCCTATGGCTTTTACCGCCCTGAGTCTGCCTTCTCCTCATACAGCCTCAAGCTCCCACCCTTGGCCGGGGTCGCCCGGGACCACACTACACATCTGCTGGAGGAGACCACCCTGGCATACTCATCTCTGAGTCCATCCAAGCTAACGCCTCTGAGCTCCCACAAGAAGCACCCTGAGTTAGGGAAAGAAAGCCCAAGTCCCCAAGCCAAGGACACCCCCAAAGATGGGCAGAGAGATGCTGAGGGGGCCAAGATGAGCCCCCGGGCAGGCAGTGCTGCCACTGGCTCCCCAGGAAGACCGAGCCCCACTAACTTCACGCAGACGAGCCACACGTGCGAGGGCTTGTGTGATCTCTCGGGCAAGCCAGCCCCCAGCCCCGTGGGGAGGCTGTACCCAACCGAGCAGAACCCCAAGGCCTTCAAGCCTATGCAGAAGGGTGCAGACTGTCCAAGCCCACAGGCACAGAGCCTTGAGGAACCAGCAAGGTAAGGAAGCCACAACCTCAGTTGCAATGTGTATCCCAGAACAGCTCCAGAATGTTCCCAGGCCAGGTTCCCACTAACCTTTCTCTTTGCCTCTTCTAGCCTCGAGATGTTGAACGAAGAACTCCCTCCTGAGACAGGGAGCAGCTCTCAGGATGCTAAGCCAACACCTTCTGGCCCGCAAGACAGCTCTGGGATTGTCCCACTGAACCTTTCCAAGAAGCCAGTCCCAGGGGGCCCCAGACTTGCATACAGAGGCCCAGCCCTTGTGGACACACAGGACTTCCCTGAGGACCCACAGGACATGCCCCTCAACCTCTCTGTGAAGGACCCTTGCAATGCTCAGGTGCTGAGACCACCCTACCACAGCCCATCACCAGAGGCAGAGCCAAAGGCCACTCAGAAGACCACAGCCAGCCCCCAGGAGGGGCCACTGGACAGAGAGGGCAGCCCAGAGGGCCAGACAGAGGAGGCCATGGCAGGGGCTTCAGGCACAAGGCCCTTGGACGAACAAGCAGTCGACAGCAGTGAAGAGCAGAAGCAAACGGCTGCAGTGGCTCTCTGCCAGCTCGCTGCTTACAGCCCAGAGAAGGGCAGAGTGGACAGTGAAGAGAGCAGTGCCCAGGGGGTGCCTGCAGAGCAGGACGCACCCACGCTCAGCACCAAGGAGAACCAGGACGTCCAGAGCAGCACAATCAAGCCTAAAGCACAAAAGAGGACAGGCCACAAGGACTCAGGGAAGTCCCTGGCAGGAGCAAAGAAAACCAAGCCAAATGACATGGCCAGGGTGCTCACGCTGAGGCGGCGGGCACGGTGCCTCAATGCCTGACCATACTGCTTACCCCCATGAGGGCCGCACAGACCACACCTTGTGCCACTCACCAGACCCCATCTTTCTAAATCAGCTGCTGGAGAGTCAGGCTTCTGTGAACATCAAGTCAAAAATTAAACCCAGTGCTGTTGAGTTCATGCCAGCTCAAAGGGACGACCCCACGTGTGCAAAGAACAACAGCCTCCCTGATGCTGGCTCAGGGGGACCCCACGTGTGTAGATAACTGCCACCTGCATCCCAGCTCACAGGGACCCCATGTGTACAGAGAAGACCTGTCCCCCTGATCTTGGCTCATGGGGACCCCGTGTGTGCAGAAAAGAAGTGACCCCCATCCTGGCTCACAGGGACCCCATTTGTGCAGAGAACTGCCCCCATGAGCTCTCTCGGCTGTGATCTTTCCAAGGGCTGTTCCCCTTGGTCTGGCTTCTTCCATGGTCCCACTGGAGGATCAACCTTTGTGTTAAAAGGTGCTGAGGCACAATCTGTGCAACCCTGAGGGCTCCTGCTCTAAGGCAAGAAGTTCAAAACACACTCTCACCTCTGGGATGTCCACAGGAAACGCTCAGGTCTGACAGTGCTGTGCTATGCGTACCCCCTACAGGACACCTCCCTACAAGTATCTCAGCACCACAAACATCTTTAACTGCTTTCCCATACAATCCAGCTGGCATGCTTTGAGATAAGAAACGAATACTGGTGGGGGGATCCACCAGGGAAATTCTTAGGAGACAGCATTAAAATCTGTACGTGAAAATACAGTTTCTGTGACTGGAGACAGCAACCAAATATTGAGAGGTTATTTATACAAATAATTTATTTCCATTAGGGAAAACATACATTGGTGAAGGTATTATCAATAAACCCTATTTGTTTTAAATGTTACACTGAGTATTCAATCTTGTATCCCACTACTTAAAATAAAGTACATAGTATTAAATTCCAATAAACTCATATGTGAACTCTGAAGACACATACAGGAAGATGAGCATGATATCTGTTCTGAATTCTCAAAAGAAGAGCTCTCAACTAAAGGCGCAACAAAAACATCTAGACATGTGTGAATGAGACAAGAGCGTAAGAGACGGGCACGTGAGAGACATGTGAGAAAGACAAACAAGTGAGAGAACAAAGTGTGAGAGACAGGCACATGAGAGATGTGAGAGACATGTGAGAAAGACAGACGAACAAGTGAGAGAATAAAGTGGGAGAGACAGGCACGTAATAGAGACAGATGTGAGAAACACAGATGTGTGTAAGAGAGAAAGACACATTTAAGAGTGACTGACAGCTGTGTGTGGGAGAAAGAGACATGTAAGACGGAGTCACGTGAGAGAGAGACACACACAGACACACAGATGTGTGAGAGGGAGAAATGGATGTGAGAGAGAAAGACATAGGAGACAGACAGATGTGTGAGAGAGACAGAAATGAGGAGGTGTGTGTGTGAGAAGGAAAGAGATGTATAAGAGGGTCAAGGTCAGTGCCGTCACCTAACACACATCAGCCAGAACTACGGCCCAGGTCTCCCCAGGTCACCACACACAGACTCATCTTACATGAACCTCTCACACCAGCCAGGCCCACGGACAGGACACTTCCTTACAGCTCGCCTCTCACACGGCTGCTGGGCCCGGACATGTCGGGAAGCCACATGAAGAGAGAGGGGACAGGAAAGCTCAGGAGCATGTCTCCATGACCTGGGGTCAGGAGGTGAGCACTTCGCTATCACACAAAACCTCATACAGTAAACGAGACCAACCATGTGACGGTGCATCCATGAGAAGACAACCCTCCCCATGTGGGCAAACATCTGCAGACCATGTGTTCAAAAGGAAACTTGTGTCAGAGAATCAAACTGGACCAGAAGCTCCACAGAGAGAGGAGACAAGGCTGAGAGGTGCTGGTCATCAGTGCTATCAAGCAAACACACACATTAGAAGTTGGTGAAGTGAGAGGCTGTAGCTGGAGGTGCCAGAGCCTACTGAGGAGAGCATCCCCCACCAGCCAGAACCCATCCACTGCCCACACTTACCATCCGTGAGCCGAGTGGGAAGCAGCAGGCCTCTCCTGCCCAGCTCTGCCAGGGCCAGGCATCCCCCATGCCACGCATTGTCCGTCTCCTGGAAACTGACAACACAGGACAGAGGTTAGCTGTCATTTCAGCTCTGATCCAACCTTCAGACCGACAAGCACAGAGCTGGCAGGCCATGTTCTAGGCTCAGAAGCCACGCTAAAGCCCACACATACGTTCTTATAAATGCAAGCTGCCTCAAAAAGTTAAATACTCCATTTGAATATGATGAAAATGTCATCTTCAGTACAGGCACGCTCTATTTGATCATGTTTTGCATCTTCTTTTATTTCCTTCATTTTATTGTGATTTGGGGCACCCCTGCATAGCAGCGTGTGCTGTGTCCCCATGTCACATTCTGGTCATTCTCACATTATTTCCAAGTTTCTCATCAGCCTCATATACACTTAACAGACCTCTCACTCACTCCCCGTCACTCCTTCCCTCCCTACTCCTCTCTCTCTCACTGCTGTCAAGTCAAAACCGACTCAAGCTGTAAATCACAAGCTCTCTGGAGGAGTAACTGGTGAACTGAAAACATCAGAGCCGGGGTTAGCAGAGCAGCACTACTGCCTGTGCCACCAGAACCCCTCATGTGTACTGGGAAGCCAGAAACTGCACCTGCCTGCTTTCTCTGTGCTCTCACTTCACTGCAGTAAGTAGTCTTATAGGTACGTCCTCTCTTCTCTTCAGACCTCAAGAGACAGCCTATGTTGCGGTTAAAGAGCAACACTTGGCGGGTATGAGCCAGAAAAGAGAAGAGTCACCGTGCCACACTGCAGTGAGCACCAGCCCCACTCACTCTCACACGGCACAGGTGTGGAGGGCAGCCTTTCCCCAGCACACTGCTCTGAGCCATGGTAACGTGTGAGACGTAACAGCAGGTAGGACTCAAAGAAATGAGACTTTATTAAACGAAGGATCTCTTAGAAGAAAAAGAACAAGGAGCCCTCCTTTAAAGGACATACATTATTTAAGGCTCACTGTCAAGACAAAACTTATCAGGATAATAAAACGGCATGGAGAGAATTTTACCATTTGGAACACAGCCAAGTAAAGTGTTACAATGACTAACAACAGCTGTAAAGTGGTCTGAGAGTTTCTGGCCTAAGTGTGGCCTCCTGGCCTGGATGAGCGAGAAGAGGGCTGCTCAGATGGACAAGAGCTGTGCCAAGTTTCTTCACTGGTCTGATGACGTCACCCACAGCAAACAAAAGGATGCTGCTCTCTTATGAACTAATTAATATGATGGCAAATGAACGGTGAGAAGAGCCAGCTATGCAGCATCACCACCTCGGCGTGAAAACAGGAAGACACCGGGGAGAGGACTGTCCATTCCCCCACACCATTCCTCACAGGGTCCATGTGCAAGACATGCCCCCAACCAGAGACCCAGGCTCGGCTCCTCCCCAGAGCTGACAGTCAACTCATGAGCAATTTCCACCACATAACCTGCCAGATGTCTTTTCCAGAGGGTGTCTGACCATTTCAAGATGAAGCATCAGCACTTTGTGTTCTTTTGAACTAGACAGAAACGTTTTCAACTTTCCCTCAAGGTGTATCAACTGATGCTCTGATGAGGCCAGGGCACCATGACCATAGTGATTCAACACGAAGGCCTGCAGCGTGAGCAGTACCCTGCACAGCTGGTCCAGCCATGGAGGCAGAGGCCACTGACCAAAGACACTGCTTATCAGCTGGTCCAGCCATGGGAGGCAGAGGCCACTGACCACAGACACTGCTTTCAGAGAGCCCACCCTCATTGCAGACAGGCCCAGGCTGGTGAAGAGAGGCAACCTCAGAGAGCTCAGGAAAGGGAAAGCCTTCCTCCAAGGAGGTGCCCCCTAGACAGGAGCAGAGCACCACTAGCCCTCATCCTCTCCCATGAGTGGATGTGGCACTGGGCACCAAAGGCAGTCACACAGGACATGCAAGGGCTCCCCACAGAACCCTCACACACACCATGGTAATGCTGGGGTCCTGGAGGCACACAGGACAACAACCCTCCAGAGTGAACAGTGGTCTCAGATGACGACACACAGAAAAAGCAGGAAAATGGCAGGAACAGGCCGCAAGGCCCACAGTTAGAGTTGGTGCAGAGCCTCATCCACATGAAACAGTGTGTTTGCTGACTGCTAGGCCTCAAACATGTTAGGCAGGTAGCTGGGAACTGATGTCCTGGACTCAAGGAGCACTCAGAAGCAAGGGTAGATGGGTAGCAGGATGATACCAGAGAGAACAAAAGACAGTGGGTGGAAGACTCAGCCTTCAAGACTCTCAACTTCAGCAGAAAAATGGGTATAGAGAAGAGCCATGTCTGGGGACCAAGGGGCACATGCAGGGTGGACAAAGCAGGTTTGCACACAAGGAAGCTCAAGAGAAAGTGGAAAGAGCGTAGGCTCAGGAGAACGGTGTGGCAGGGGCAGGGTTGCATGTGTTAAAGACAAGCGCACTCCGTGAGAGTGATAGGCATGCCCTGGCCAGCACACCCACAACAGCAGTGCAGGAGAGAGACTATGGCAGGGAGGAAGGAGGGAGGCACATATGGAGGAAAACCTAGGGAGCGCCTAGACAAACTGACAGTCAAACAGCTGAACAACTTGCAGGAATACTACAGTAGAAGGGAGAGAGGAAAATCGGAAGCACCTGAGGCAAGGCTGGAGGGGAAACTGAGAAGAAGGGAGCCCATGAAAGATGAATGGAGCTTGGCACCACTGACCCCAAGGCCTGCCCTACTCCCACAGGAAGATCCAGGAGCAACCACTCACAGGAGTCCAGTGGACAATGTCAGCAAGATAGGGCTGGGATCATGTCAACACAGGAAGAGAGCTCTCTCCAGACCTCCCCACGGAAGAGGCCAAAGTCTGTCAGCACAGTACAGCCACACCCACTGACCTTGCATAAAGCACAGATGGCCAGCTGTGGATATGCTACTTCCCTCATGCCTCAAGTTGCCACTGAGCAGCTCAGAGTGAAGGGGAGCACAAAGGCACTCTGGCAGGGCCAACACTGCTGGTGCAGGGCTGCCCTGTGACTAACAGGATAGCTGCCCCAGTGGACAGCCACACAGTGAAAGCCACCATAAGAAAAGCAGCAATTAAAGAGGGCCACAGGACATTCAGATGGCGGGGAAGAAGAACAAACTGGGGAGGAGGGTGGAGAGAATGGTGCGGCAATGAAGGAGTGAAAGCCCAGAATCCCTGTGAATGTTCATTGAAACTAATAAAATTTAATAATAATTTTTAAAAAAAATTTAATAATAATTAAAAAAAAAAGTTGGAAACAGAAATGCCATTTGACCCAGCAATTCCACTATTGGCAATATACCCTAAGGAAACCATAACCTTGAAGGAAGACAAAAAGGAGGGGAGGAATGATGTATATTGCATTGAAACAGATGAGGAAGAGAACTGTTTAAAAGGGATATATGATTAGGAATTATTGTCATAACAGAAGTCCAGAATGAAGGCTGCACAGTGGAGTGGACTTGGGGCGGGAAGAGGGACTGCATAACAATGGAAGAGTTTTTATTTTTCTTTTCAAGGAGAAGAGAGAATGGGGGAGAGGGGATGGGCAGGGAGAAAAGTGCAACAATGAATGACTGGAAACCCTAAGTCTCTGTAAACTTTCATTAAAATTAATAAAAAACAAGGAAACCATAATCGCTACCCAAGCAGGAAAAAAAAAAAGAGGGCCACAGGGCCATGTGTCCTATTATCAAATGCCATCCAAACATCCTAGACAAGGCCACAGTGCCAGGCTGCCAACAACACCCACTATCACCCACACCTCCTAGCAAAGGTCACAATGCCAGTGGTCTAACACGCTGAGTGCCATCCACAGATGTCTATTCCATAACAAGAAGTAGCCTCCACAGCAGATACTATAATCTTGGTCGGAGGTGAGCTAGCCAGTCACATTCCTGGAAGCGTAACAGTTTATGGGACCATCCTTCATTTATCTAAAATCTGTCAGCCCACCCCATCTCAGGACCTGAGCCGCCAGACAACTCCAAATTCTCCAAAAGGCTATTAGACAGAGGCATGCATCTTTTTACTTAGTTCAGTGGAATTAACTAAAAGCTGAAGTTCAGTCCTATCACAATGTTATCATTTTAAGGGCCTGAGAGCCACATATGGCTAGCCTGGAACAGCACGGATCTAGAATATTCTTTCACTGCAGAGCAGTCTCTTAGAGGACCCAGGTATAGAACGTTTCACTGCTATGGAGTGTTCCTTTGTATTGCACTGGGTTAGAACAATCCATCACTGCACAGCACTCCTGGATAGCACAGGCCTAGAACTCTATCACCACAGAGCACTCCTTCAGACAGCATAGGTCCAGAACAGTCTACCACAGTGGCCCACTCTCCTGGTGGTGGCCCAGGTCTAAAACACTCCATAATTGCGGGGTTCTCCCTTGGATAGTATGGGTCTACTAGGAACACTCTTGGACAGCACAGATCTACAATATTCCATCACTGAAGAGCACTGTCTTGGATGGTACAGATCTGGATCTCCCCATAAGTTCCCTAAGGATGGATATCCACACAAGTTCAAAACTTAATCCTCTCTTTCCTTAAGGTCTTCACAAATTACATATTTTGGCTGATGAAAAAGCTTTTAAGAAACAACTAGAGTTTTCTTGCAACCACTATGGAAGGCAATACGGTGCTTTCTCAAAAAGCTGAAAACAGAAATACCATTTGACCCAGCAATTCCACTCTGCCACTCAAGCAGATATATGCACACCCAATGTTTATTACAGCTTTGTTCACAATAACAAAGAGTTGTAAACAACCCAAGTTCCCATCAACAAACAAATGGCTGGAGAAGCTGTGGTATATTCACACAATGGAATATTATGCAGCACTGAAAAACAAAGAACTCATGAAATATACAAAATAGGTGACCATGGAGGATATTATACTAAGTGAAATATCTCAGTCACAAAAAAGACAAATACTGCATAACACCACTGTTATATAACAGGACTGACATGGGGGTTGGGGGAAAGCTAAGAAAAAAGGGGATAAATAATGTACACGGATTTGAAACAGGCGAGGAGAGAACTGTATAAAAGGAATATATGATTAGGTATTACTGGCATGACAAGAGTCCAGAATAAGAGCTGCATAGTAAAGTGGTCCGGGATAGGGGGGGGCTATATAACAATGAAAGAACTTTTTTCCCCAAAGAAAAGAGCGAGCAGGGGGTGGGGGGAGAAGGGAGGAAAATGTGCAACAATGAATGAATGGAAATCCAAATTCTTTATAAACTTTCATTAAATTCTCAATTAAAAAAAGAAATAACTAGAGTTTTCAAGTTCGAGACAAAAAAACCAAAAACCACAAACACTTTTTTGAGCTCTGAGGAAGTAAACTTGAGGCTTCAATTAGATAATGTTGCATACCTGAAACAGTCAAGTGCAGAGCCCACCACGTCGTCCGCCAGGTCCTGGGGAAGCCGCCCAGCTATTCTGCCAATGCTGAGAGAAGAGAGCACGTCATCCAGGCCCATCAGTGCAAACATGCTGTCCCAGGCCTGCCTAGTAAACACTGCTCTCTTGGGGCAGGGGTGGATATAAGCCTCTTACACATCATACTCAACAGCAGATTCAAATACATGGGGGCAGAAGGCCCCAAGGAGAACAATTCTGTCCCCAAGTGAGTGGGCGTGCATGCCATGGGCTGTGCCTGGTCCGCAACAACATCACAGCAGCAGCTCACTTTACAAACTGGTCTGAGACCTGCGGACCCCATGATGGCACCTGAAGACACCATGCTCATATCCTCTAACTCCCACCCACCCACACCTGCTGCCCTCAATGCTCTACACTCAACACTCCTTGGTGGCTCCATCAGAAAGGAAGGCTTTACATCCATCTGTGGAGGGCAGTGGGGTGATAACAGTGGGAGCAGTGGGCTGATGAGAGTGGGGGCAGTGGGGTGATGAGGGGTGGTGAGGGTCGGGGCAGCAGGGTGACAAGGGTGGAGCCAGCGAGGTGACGAGGGTGGGGGCAGCAGGGTGACAAGGGAGGGGGCAGCGGATGACAAAGGTGGGGTTAGTGAGGTGACAAGAAACGAGGGCAGTGGGGTAAGAATGAGGACAGACATACAACTGTCTGTGGATAAAGAGCAGGGTACAGCAAGGAATTGCAATCATGAAAGGGACATTGGAAATGAAAACCAGATCTGATTACAGCAGCACGTACCCTTTGGCTGCTGACCACCGCACGACTGTGTCCTTGTCCTTCAGACCAGCCAGCAGCTGCTCTGCAGGGACAGAAGAAAGACCAGCACTAGAGGTAAGTCTACATCTGCCCAGTACTCAGACACCAACCTGTCATTCTCATCTCAGGAATGTCTACCAACTCTCCAAATCTTCAGCTGGAGCAGGGGCAGGAGACAGGGAGGGTGGACGTGATGCTCTCGCTGAGCACTGGATGCTGCTTGGAGGAGCTGAGAGGAACAGGATGCCTAACGAGGGGGCTGGTCCACGCACCGATCACACTCTCCACCTCCTCCGGCACGTCATAGTCTTCCTCTCTGTCTGGGGTCCCGGAGTGGGGCGTCTGCTCACGCTGCTTCTGACTGGAGAGATTGGCAGCCAGAGAGCGGCTACCACGCTGATACCTGCACAGAACACAAGGAGCTTCCACGCGTGCTCACAGTGTGGCTGAAAACACAACCCCGACAACAGCACAGAAAGAACCCACAGACGAGGGACCTTTGCAGAAACCATCTATCAGGTCCGTTTTCCCCACTATATAGAAACTGCTGCCACTGACCAACAAAAGGAACAACAGGCTTGGACAGGCCGTTCATCAGAGAAGATCAGCACATGGCCAAGCACATGAAGCTCCCTCAACACCAAACGTCAATGCCACGGTGCTCACTCCCAGCGGCCAGCGAGTGAGAGAAACGCTCCACACAGGAGCTCAAGGCCAGGACCTTCTGGAAGGACGCCTCCGACCTATCTTCCAAGGAGCTTCTGGGTGCTGGATGAGCTGGAATCGCCAGTCTTGCTGCTGGTCATCCAGTCTTGGCCACCTAAGGCTACCCGCTAGCCATGAGAGATGCAATGAGATCACACTTGACCCTCCCCAGGACAGCTGTGACCAAGAAAGCAGAAGACAACAGGTGCCGGCAAGGTTGGGAGGAGTGAAGCCCACATTCACTGCCAGTCGGGGGTGACACACCGGGGAAAAGTACGGTTTTTTTAAAAGTTTAACAAAGAACTACAATGGGGCCTGCAGTCCCAAACCCCAATGGAGGAGTACGTACACAAGAGAAAGCTCAGAGTATTCCCTCCCTCAGTATCTCCATACACCCCACCTCGCAGACAGGAACCCCAGGCCACGCCAGCTCATGCCCGCCAGGCCAGCCCCATGGCTCTCCCTGCCCTGGCCACCTGGTGCTCCACCACCCACCCTGTCAAGTGGAGGCCAGCAGCAACTCTCCCAGGATGTGGACCAAGAACAGCCACACTCCTGGTGCAACACAAGGGGGCTCAACGCAGCTCTGAGTCCCCACTGCCATAAGATGCTGCACAGGTCCTGGACCTCTCTGTGCCTCATTTTCCCCACCTACGAAGGAAAGAGTGCTTCTATGTAGAGCTCCAAAGGTAGAGAGATGGTCTGGGACACAGCAATATTTGGACAATTCTGAAAGATACCAACCCACGGACTTCCAAGGAGAAAAAGTACACAGCCCGTCTAAGGGCACAAGAGTTAAACTGTCCAAAGACAGAAGAGGAGCGTTTGTGTTCACTGACCAAGAGAACATGCCTATAAGCCCTGGTCTCTATACTCTCCCCAGTGGCTGGCAGGACAGTGCCAATAAGCAGGAGCTCGTGGCCCAGCAGGGGGACTGGACAGCTAGCTGATAATGTAAAGAAGGTAAACAGCACCTGTGAGTACAGCCACGCAGATAAGATGGTAGACCACGAACATGGGCACTGGTCAGTTCTGCCACCCTGAGAGGCTTAGACTGAGCTGACAGGAAAAGGACCCAGGATGAGAGGGTGCAGTGTTTGCTGTAGATCTGAGCTCTCTGTGAAGATGAGGGATAAAGGGAGTGGCAGCAAAGAAAACAGAGAGCCAGAGGCCAGTGTGCATGTGAGCTGTAGGCTCCTCGCCCATGGAGATGGACAGCCATGTGAGGACATGAGGACTCATCCCTCCAACTAGAGTAACTCTTCCTGAAAGGTGAACATTCAGACTCTAACCCAAAGATGGCTCCTTCCAGAACCAGAAAGGTCTCTAGGAAAAAAAGGACATTAAGACACACTTCATAACCCTCAGATGCTGCTGTTGTCACTGAAATAAAGGAGTCACAGTGACTGAGCCAGAGACACTGAAGCACACCTGACTCACCTCCACTTAGCCACCCTGGGTTTCAGGAAGGTCAAGCCTAGCCGCTGGGCGAGCTTCACCCCAAGTTTCCGGAGGAGGGTTTGGTTGCAATCAGAGAGTCTGCAACTGCTGAGGTACTGGAGAACGGTGGGGGCTGAAAGGACAGCAAGGTAGTCGTTTTAGTGGGAAGATCTCACAAGGCTGTCCCTGCCTTGTCCACATGCATGGGCACACCTCACTGGGGCACTGTGCACGACTGACAGCCAGGGTCCCTGACAGCAGCTTGTGTGTAGGTGGAGTACCCAGGAGAGGAGCACTGGGTGAGAGAGCAGCTCACGCCCCAGAGAAAGATACGAGTGGCAAGACGAGCCTAGGGACAGGTCTGTCCATTGTTAGTAATGGGGCCAAGGAACAACTACAGCAAGGCACAACATACCTGAGCGTGGGGACACACACACTGCCCAGTGTGGTCTGGGGGACACCCCCGGACAGTGTGGGGACACACAAACCACCCAATGTGGCCTGGGGGACATCCCCTGAACAGTGTGGGGACACACACACTGCCCAGTGTGGTCTGGGAGACACCCCCAGACAGTGTGGGGACACACTCACCGTCCAGTATGGCCTAGGGGACATATCCCTCCCCCACCAGGCAGTGTAGGGACACACATCCCTCCCCCACTAGGCAGTGTAGGGACACAAATACCTCCCAATGTGGTCTGAAGGACACACAACCCCCAATGGACAGTGTGGGGGGACACATACCACCCAGTGAGGCCTGGGGTACACTCACACACCACCTGGCTATGTGGCCTGGGAGCACACACACCACCCACTGTGGCCTAGGGACATCACACCATCCAGTATATTCACTCACACAAACACTCCTTTCCCCACAAAGTGTTGCCTGGTGGAGCCTCGGGTAGGGGACGCAGAACAGAGCAGGATTGACTGTGATTTAACCTCTTATCATACCAATCTCTCTTTCTTTAAATGTGCCTCAAATTCCCATAGTCAAGATTTAAAAGAAAGGAGGATTCTAGCACTGAACACTCAGCCCTATAGCAGAGAGTGCTAGGAAGGCCCCTAGGCACCAGTGGGAAGATGCTGCACTTGGCCACTCTTGTCAACCGGGGTCCATTGAAAGCTCAAAGACGGAAGCCACCCTGTGGCCCCACTCCAAAGTGGACAGTATTCCTGAGACCACGATGAGGGAACAGGGTGACCTCAGTCATCTCCCCCCATGAAATTCCCCAAAAGCAAACATAGAGAACACAGAGTCAGGGTACAGCGTCATGATGTGGCCTCTTGAGTGAGCCCCTCACCACCTGCCTCAATTCTTGACAGTCAGAGATTTTACTCAAAGTGTAATCACTGATACACACACACACACACACAAGGAGCGACAATGGTGTCAGATGGGCCAAGAATGAGAGACATCAAGGAGGCACCTGGTCACACAAAGACAAGCCATAGCATAAACAGGCTCTCTCACCATAGGGTAAACAGTCTTCACGTGTTCCATGCTTAAATATCTGCGCCTGAAAAGAGAAAAGTCTTTTTAAAGAATTTTTAGTACTTTAAAGTTATCACAACAATTTACTACACGTTATAGAAAATGTTATTCATCACCAAATCACAAAAGAATACAAGGAAATCTTGAGGTGACACGGTCAGCACTAGGCAGCTAGAAGAGCCTCTGAGGATCGAGGGAGTCCATGGCTCCTTAAGGTCCCGTGTGCAAAAAGGTGGGACTTAATGAGAGTCACAGGCCACAGGACTTCACAAAGCAGGACGCCAGCACCAGCCACCTCCCCACCAGCAAGCACTTCAGGGTCCACAGCCCTGCACACAGACCATCTACCATACTCATATCAAGGAAGAGATCTGCTGGCCAGGAGAGCACAGTGTCCCCCAGCCCCTCTGTCTGCGCATCCTACAGCTCAGAAACGAGCAACCACTGACCACAATCTTCTCCTCCAGAAAAACAGCATTGGACCAGTGATTAAGAGCAGTGCATAACGGGTAGGGTCAAGTGACTGCCACCAGAGCCAACCTTGGCCCCTGACCAGGCTGCGTAAAGAGGCCTGGGCTGTGATGTGTACCCTGTGAATACAGAATTGGCAGGCCAGCAAATACTCCACCCAGAATCAGTAGCCAGGCCAAAGGGACTCTCAGAGGGCCAACAGCTATCGTGTGGCCTCACACATGCTCAGGTGGTCACTACATGTGCCACCTGGGTGTGGACTTCTCCAACGGAGTGGCCAGTTCAAATCCCTTGGCAGAGTGGCACCATCTTTTTATCCAATCACTGCTGCCCACAACTCAATCCCAGCTCTTGGGATGAGGTCCTCACGGGTACGTCGTCTTTAGAGGTGAAAACCTGAGAGACACAGCAAGAGTGCCAGTCCAGCCAGGAAAAAATGCACCCCTTTTTGGTATGCCAGCACTGACCTTATAGCCACACTAGTCCTGGGGCCACATGACCAACCCCAGCTAGGAGCTCCTGCTTGGCTCAGGGCAACCCCACCCACAGAGCAGAGAGGGGCACTAAGCCAGGCTACAGCTACATCTTGGCTGAGTGGAACTGACACCTGCGTTTTATGAGTACTGAGTTTTTCGTACCACCCCCTGCAAGGGCAGTTTTCACCCCAACAGTGAAACTATGTGTGTGATAATTCCAGTGAGACCAGCAATGAGCAACAAAGCTACAGCCCAGAGAGCATGCCCATATATTCTCACTCCCCCGTGCTAGACTTTAGAGGGAACGAAGGGCAAAGATGAGGACTGAGGGTTTGTTTCTCAAGAAAGCACTGGCCCCACCCTGGGCAGCAGGGCTAAGCAGGGAGGTGGCACTGGTCTCGAAGGACAGCAGCCAGGCCATGAAAAGCGACACGCACCTGCTATTCGTGGAAGCAAAAGACATGACCCTACTGAGAACAATGAGAAGCAACTATGTCGCTTTCGAATGAAGGAGACCTACGCACAGTGAGGTCTGCTGCTGTTTTAGAAAACAACCCAGGACAAGGCACAAACAGGATGGTATCTTGGCCCTGATACACCATGCTTGTCAGCTGGCCTCGATCGGGCTAACTGCCTGACATGCCAGCGGCCACCTCCCAGGTACCTCTTCTCCAGCCTTAATCATAGGCAGGCTGCAGGCGAGGTGCCAGCTGAGCAGGAGGTGCTGGTTTGAGACTCCCTGAAGGCACTGTACCAAGAGGGCCAGACAAGCAGCCCCACTTGGCCTGGGAGAAAGGTCTCTAATAAGCCCACTCAAAGCAGCACCCCAGAGGGGGTCGCTCGTAGATCAGACCAGGGAACAGGGCCAAAGCCACATCAGCACTGGCTTGTGATCGCTCAAGAAGTCCTCCTCTCACAACCACAGAGTAGCAAGGCCCCCTCAGTGCTTGCTCAGCCGGGCCCAGTGCCGAGAGCACCTCCTAACAGGCTCAGCAAAGCCAGGGCTGTAGGGCCACAAAGCTCCCTAGGAACATGCCACCTACCAAAGCAAGACACAGAAAGTGACCAACAGCCCAGACAGAAGTGGACAGAACAAGACCAGCAGCACAGGAAGGAGGTGGGCCAAGCAGACACACAGAAATGACCAATACACGCCCACCAAGAGGATGGGCCTGAGGGTCCTAGAGAGGGACTGGCTCCAGTGGGGTGAGGGGGTAACCCTGGTATAGGGGGTGCCAGCATTATGAGGGGACTACCGTGAGCCAGATGAAAGATCTGCCCACCACGTGACTCAATTCCAGGATAGTGAAACAACCTAACACACATTTCTGTTTTAAAACTGTGATGTCTAAGAGAGCCCTTTCACTTCCCCAAGGAGTAACAGCACACTAGAAGCAGACAGGGAGCTCTGGTATCTTAGGGGTAAGAAACTGTACTACCAATGCAAAGGTATGTGATTTTTAATTCACCAGCTGCTCCAAGAGAAAAATGAGCAGTCAATTCCCGTGTGATTTACTGTCTCTAAAAGCGCCTGCTGGAGGGTCAGCTACAGGTGGGTTCTGACTTGACACTACACAACAGAAGTGAATAGGCAGACAGGGAGCATGAAGAAATGCAGGTGGAACCTCCTGAGGACAAGAGCTGCTCCACCAACGGCTGAGGCACAAGGAAACAAGTGGGCTACCCAAAGTCCAGCCATCAGTTTCCAATGGCCAGGGACTAGAGCACGGAGGGCTGGGAGGAGGGGACGTGTGGAGGATGAGGCCATGGAAGTGGACTATGTGGGATGGAGAACCAAGGAGGGTTGTGCAGAGTGCTGAGCTATGTCAGTGGGAGGAGGACAAGTGGGGATCATGTGGAGGGATGCAGAGGGCATGGGATCAGGAAGGGACATGTATGTAGAAATCGTGTGGAGGGATGCAGAGGGCATGGGATCATGGGATCAGGAGGGAACAGTTGAGGGAAGAGAGGGCATATGAGCAGAGGGTATGTGGAGAGTCAGGGAACATGTATGTGAGATCCTGTGGAGGGACGCAGGAGGGTATGAGGTCATCAAGAGGAAAGGATAAGGGGAAGGGGGAGGGGGAGTGGGAGTCATGTGGAGGTCTGCAGAGACGGGAGGGAGGGGGCATATGAAGGGTGAAGGGGCAAGAGGGTGAGGGATCCTGTAAATTGGGGTGATGTGGAGATATGAAGAAGGTATGGGGTTATGAGAAGGGGCAGGTGGAAATGAGGGGTCATTTAAGTGAGGGTCATGTGGACATATGCACAGGGTATGGGGTCATGAGGAAGAAGAGAGGTTATGTAAGTGGTGGTCGTATGGAGGTAAACAGAGGGTATGGAATCCTGAAGGAATATTGGAGGGTGAGAAGGCATGAGTGGTAAGCGTTTAGGGTATGTGTAGGGTCTCAGAGAGGAGGGGAAGCCATGAGGAGAGGGCACACAGACAGTGAGGAGTGAGGGGGTGTGAGTGGGGGTCATGTGGAGGTTGGGGGATGGTGAACAGGTGGCATGTGAACAGTGAGGGACTATTTAATTAGGGAGTGCCATGCAGAGGCTGGGGCCATGAGGAGAGAGCACGCAGAGGATGAGGGGCTGTGCAAGTGGGAGCCATGTGAGGGGAGTAGCGTCGGTGGGGGCCGTGTCAGTATGGGGCCATGCACAAGTGGGAGGGGATGTGGAAGGGACATGTGGAGGGGAGGGATCGTCTGAGTTTGGGCTACGCAGAGGCTAGAGGACCATATAAAAGGGGTGCAGAGAGGGTGATGGACTGTGGGAGTGGGGAATGTGAGCCACTCATGAGCCTGGGGGGACATGAGAAGAAGACATGTGAAGGTGTGGGTGGGGCTGTGAGGAGGGGCCCTGTGGAGGAGAGGGGCGATGCAGAGCCTGAGGGATTAAGAAGATGGGGTACACAGAGGGTGGGGCTGTATGGGTGGCATTCTTCTATACTACAGTGGAGGCCATGGCCCCCTTCTGCTCTGGCCCAACGCAGTAACCAGCCCCATGGCCACCAAGCACTCACGACAACTGCTGCTCACCTCCCCCAGTGCTAAGAACATGAGAACAGAGGTCAACCACGTCCAGTGCAGACCCCATGTGTATGCTACCTGCTGGAACACACCTGTAGAGCAGGTATGTGACTGTCAGCAGGTCAAAGAGCCAGCCCGAGTGGAATGGTGGGTGTGTCCACAAGCTTCAGCATGCCACAGTGCCGCCCGCCACGGAAAACACTGGCGAGAATGAAGACAGCACAAGGGTGAACTTTCACGTCTGCTTCAACGAGGAGATCAGAGTGTCCCAGGCTGAGCCCCTGACAGCACAGGTACTACCAGAGCATAGGAGCACCCTGCAGACACTCGCAATGTGTCAGGGTCCCGGTGTTCCCACACACATCTGCTATCCACAAAGCCTTCCCAGGTCAGTTCTTTGGCCAAAGAAGGCGTGGGTAGCCTGACGCTCCACGCATCTAGGAAAAGCAAAGGCCAGAGGCTGGGGAAGAGTGTTTCATCTTTAAAGGGCGTCACACACTAATTGCCCTCCACACCACCCTGGTGAGGTAAGGAAGCTCATTTCCCTTCTAGAGGGGAGCCAGAGCAAGGCCTCACCTGTGCCTCGGGGTCAGAGGTGGAGACAGAGTTGCTAAAGGTGCCGCAGGCCAGCCTGCTGTCGCCCACAGGAGCTCAGGGCCACAGAGGCGGAGCAGCAGTGTCTGCAGCCTCAGGCAGGTTTCCGCAAACACCCCAATGTGAGGGCAGTTTACTCGGAGTCATGCACACTGGGCCCTGTGCCTCCTTCCTGTCTGAAACTATCAGCAACAAGCAGGTGCTTACAAAGGCAGCTCAGGGAACTGGAGTCCCTCTACTGTCTGTAGCTGATTTCTCCTTTAATGAGGTGTCTATTGAAATTTAGAAATACAACAATGTTCATCTTCAAGGGGCTGCAACTCACAGATGGTGACCAGGAGGGCATCATATACGTTATCCCAGCTATGGCTATGCGCAGTCACCCATCTCAACAGTGAACGGTTCCCCAAGCACCTTCATGGGGCAGAGAGAGTGGGCTCTCGGGGACTGCGACTTGTCTCTACAAGGCTGTCTCTCCTAACAGTGCTCAGTTGGCACAAATCATGACACCAGCCTGAGGTTCAAGCTGGAGAGGGGCTGTGCAGGGAGCCAGCACACCGGGGGAGTCGGCACACTGGGAGCCCTCTCCCCACGGCCCACCTGTCAGCCAGCTGCAGGACCGTCAACGCGCAAGGCAGGGCAGAGCTTCCAGGGAAGTTAAACCAAATCCCGGTTTCGATGCTGCCTGTTGAGAGCTCACCTGTTTCGCCCAGCCCACACTAATGAGCAGGTGGATGAAACAAAGCCAAGTGCATCAAAGGAAGCAGCCGGAATCCTGAGCACAACGCACCTGCGAGTTTCATCACGCAGCGGGCACCGCCTCTGCCATTCAGGTCTGACAAGCTGGTGGTGAAATGCGCTTGCTGGGCAGCCACAGCCCAGCCTGCAGGAGTGTGGGTGCCCGGCCCACCAGCCAGTTTTCTGCCAGAGAGAGGAGGGGTGCCCAGCCCTGTCCGCTGACCACTGTTACACTAAAGAGAGGAGTGGTGCCTGATCCCATATGCTGACCACTGCTACACCAGAGAAAGGAGGGGTGCCCAATCTTGCCCGCTGACCATTGCTACACTAAAGAAAGGGAAGAGGGGTAGCCAATCCCATCCACTGACCACTAGTACAAAGAGAGAAAGGAGGGGTGCCAAACACTGCCAGCTAATTACTGCTATACCAGATTGAGAGAGGAGCAGTGTCCAACCTTGCCCACTGCAACACTGAGAGGAGGGATGCCCGACAATGCCCACTGACCACTGCTTCAACAGAGAGAGACAGAAGAGGGTGCATGCCCGCTGACCACTGCTTCAACAGGACAGAGGAGGGGTGCCCGATCATGCCCAATGACCAATGTTTCATCAGGACTGAGGAGGGGTGCCCAACCAAGCCCGCTGACCACTGCTTCACCAGAGCTAGATGGGTGGTGCCTTTGGGACCGCAGGGGCCACTCCACAGCATGAGCCTCACTGTGCTTGGTGTCAGACGAGTGTCCGCCCTTACTGAGGGCAGGTCTAGACCCTCCCTGGAGTGGTACTTCAAGTGTGTGGGCTTCTGGGAGGGACTCCCATACTTCTCTACTCCTCCACCTCCCCCAGCCCTGGCTGACTGAAGTCCGCTGAGAGAGCACTCTCTCTAAGACTTCACCTGGCTGCAAGCTGTGCTCCATGCTGCCCCTCGCATGCCTCTCTACACTGGGGAAGGAGAGAATGAGGAAGCTGAAGTCACACCAAATGGTCACGGTCCACAGTCCCTTCTTCTGCCTCTGGAATTCAGTGAATCAAACAGTATAGAAGCAGTTCACTTTTCTATCATCTGCGGACCAAGAAGTTTTCTGTGATGCAACTCTCATTGTAATTGGCCAAATTCAGCAGACCTGAAATTTTGCCAAACGACACAGGCCACCGGAAGGCCTTGTTTACCTCCCACAAAGAGAACAGAAAAGCCAATCTTTCCTGAAATAGCTGTGTGTGGAGGCTTCAAACACCAAGTTAAATAACCTAGACTCTCCCACAGATGGGCAGCCCCCACATCACAGAAACACCCCAAGGAGGTCTGGCTTGACATTAGCACACCTCCCACACCATCTGCCCTACTTTCCACAGAGCATCCCACACCTGGTCAGGAACTGCAGAGCCAAAGAGGACAGTCTGGAGGCAGGTGACATGTTGAGTCACAGTGCATGTTCAGCGGAAGGAGAGCCACTGCCACACCCTGGGCAGGGGCGGTACTGCACCCCACAGAGGTATTTCCACACTTGAGACAGGGGCACCTTCACATAACAGATGAAGGGCCTGTGTCCCTCAGAGGGTGTACCTCCACATAACAGACAGGGGGGCTCCTGTGTCCCTCAGGGGGTGCACCTTCAAATAACAGATGGGGGGGCTTGTGTCCCTGACAGAGTCAGCACTGTCACACTATCACCCCATGGACTGCGGGTCAGCGCCAATCTAGGCCTCTTGGGGAAAACTGCCTGCAAAGCAAGTCTAGGTGCCTCCAAGAAGTGCACAGACAACAGCCAGGCTGACCAGGCTGGGGGCAGAAGGAAAGGGATCCCCGCTCCCAGCCACTCAGCTTAAACAGAACTGTGGTCTCCCTGCTGGCAATGAGCATGTGTCACTGTCACAGGACAGTCCCTGAAGGCTTTGCTCTGGTGCACATGCTCACTGTGAGTTCCACCAGGAATAGCAGTCATCACAGATGACCCGGGAGGGGTGCAGCTGGGCACACAGCGCTACCAGAGCACTCGGTAGAGGTCCCCACAGATCCTAGCCAACACCCATCAACGACCAGGTCAACTCACCCTCAACAGCCTTCATAACCAAGAAGCCACACCCCCATGGAGAGGACATACCTGCTCTGAGGGGGAAGGCTCTGCTGCCCTCTGGTGACGAGACGCAAAGTACCAGCCTGGGGCCGGGGAATCACAGGTCTCAACTCAGCTACACCTCCCCCCAACTGCCAGAGAAGTGCAACCACAGTGGGGCAAATCATCCCCACAGGTCCCAACAGAGTGCAGATGGAACTGACAGCACACAGAGGCCCAAGTATCCAAAACCATTCCTCAGGGCCTGCAGCCCTCATCCATGTAACATCCACCACTGACCACCCTCCTCACAGGGTCAGCACCTTTTATCCACAGGACAGTTCCCCAATGACCACCCTCCCCACCACGTGACAGTCTCCACAGCCATGAAATGCCTCACCAGAGCCTGCAGTGCTCCATCCACAGCAATAGTCCCCTCGATGGTCTGGAAAGAAGACTGGGTCAGAGTGCGAAGGGTCCAGTCCAGGAAGCCAGTCATCTTCTTCTGCTTAACATCCTGACGGGTGATGAACCTGCCAACGAAGAATGCTTCAGGTGCCAGACACGTGTCAGCCCGAGTCCAGCTGCAGTCCCTGGACCAGCAGGGACACTTACACAAGTTCCTCTCACAGAACTGACCACAGCCCTGGTGCCAACCCAGAGAGAGGAACACTACAAGACCACACACCCAGGCTAACTGCCCCTTCAGTGCCTCTCAGGGTCCAGGAGTCATGGCCATGTTCACCTCACTCCACCTCCAAGGAGCCCACAGTCCCCTCTCCAGGATATAGTGCCCCCCCACCCTGCAAGAACCTCATCTCCATCCCTGTCTGGGAACCAGACCCAGCCAACTGGAAAGAAAATTAAGTGGCATACACACAGACCTCACCCTCCCTCTGCTCCTATGACAAACAGCAGTGAGAGAATCATCCACCACCATCTACAACCTTCCCTTTCCCAGACCTTACCAGCTTCCCACTACCCCCAGCCCCCTAGCTCCCCAAGAATCATCCACAACTAGAACCTGTGGCTCCCTGTTCCCCTTCCCCAACTCACACCATCCCCCCACTCTCCAGCTCCCCAAGAACCATCCACTAACATCCACAACCAGAACCTGGGGCTTCCCTGTTCCCCTTCCCCAGCACACACACCTGTGCGCACCAGGATCAACTGTCAGCCAGCTCCCAGAAAACAATCCACCGTCCAAGACCTGGGCTTCCTGACCTCCTCTCCAACTCACATTCCAACCCCCAGCCTAACCCACAGTTCCCTGAGAACACCTATGGGCAGAAATCATGAAGCAAAGAGTGAGGTAACCGACATACTCTCTACCACCATAAGCCATGAGCAGAGCGCTGAGAATGAGTTGCGACGTAGGCAAGTGATCACTGGACCCATGACTTACTCTGGGGTCGAGCCTGAGGAAATCATCCCAACACTAAAGCAGGTTCCCATCAAAGGACATTGTCACAGCGTACATCACATCACAGAGTAGAAGGGTCAGAGTGCACACAGCATTTAGTCAAAGCTGCAGGCCTTATCCTCCCTGTCCCTGCGTGCTCTGAGTTCCCAACTGCAACATGCTGTTCATGCCTAGCCTTTCCATTAAAACACTATTTTTAAAACTTAACGTGGTCACTAGGAACAAAGGCCCACTTTGCACTGGTGTGTTTCTACAAACAACACGTGTAACATCTACCCCTTGCTGTTCTGAAATAGTTATCCTGGACCCACTATGAATACGCATCACCACCCAACAAAGGAGATGCAGAGAAGGGCATGCCCTCTGCACTCTCTGGTGCTGAAGCAGAGGGGTTTTAGGGCACAAGCAGTTCTATGAGGTACAGAGAAATGGAGCCAACTCCAGCTGCCAACAAGCATGTATGGGTCCTGTCAAGAACACAAGCAAATGATGAACTGTCGGAAAACAGTGTCCACAGGTAGGTTCATGAGCTATCAGGACGCAGTGTCCACACAGCAGGGTCCACAGCCTGGTGATGAGGCATCAGGACATGGTGCCCACACTGTAGAGTCAATAGGCAGGTATCAGGATGCGGTGTCCACAGTGCAGTGTCCAAAGGAAAGGGATGAAGTATGAAGTATCAGGATGTTGTGTCCACAGGCAGATGAGGAGTAAGGATATAATGTCCACAGGCAGGTAATGAAGTATTAAGATGTGGTATGTGGTGTCCACACAGCAGTGTCCACAGGCAGGTATCAGGATGCTGTGTCCAAAAAGCAGTGTCCACGGGCAGATGCTGAGCCATCAGGACATGGAGTCCACACTGCAGTGCCCACAGACAGGTGATGAGCTTTCAGGATGCCGTGTCCACACTGCAGTGTCCACAGGCCGATCCATGACCTATTAGGACCATGTGTTCAACATAACCAAGTGTGCAGCCCACCCATCACCCACAAGGTGGCACTGTGGTTTTACCCCAGCCTCTGACCTATCACAGGACACCCAGGCTTTCCCTCCCACCCCACAAGTTGCATGTGCCACAAAAGCTGACACAATCATAAAGCTAGCAAACCCTCAGTACTGTCAGTGAGAAAATTAATTCACAAATCAGAAAAGCTCAAGGATGGTTTCATTTAGCCAATCTGGAAAGCACCAGTAGCCATCAGATCAGTATCGGCTAATAGGGAGGAGAGGGGACTCTGCTGGTTCTACCGCTCCAGTCACGTTTACAACCCTGCCCTGCTAGCACGTCATCCTGGGGCAGCACACGGGCACAAAGTCAGATACAGAACGGGCACGACGACTGCTGTCAGGGACAAATGTGGAGTGCTCTGTACGTGAACAACGTACACACCAGGAAGATTCCAACACCAGGACTGGGCGATGCACCTGCGTCTGTGGATGTAGCACACAGCATGTACAGGTGGTTTTGGATGCCAACAAGTCAACCACCACTCACAGCCAGCCTGTGAACAACAAGCTGAACCTTTTCCAATCCTGCACCAGTCTCTGTCATGCCCGAGTCTACTGTGGTAGTTATCACGTCAGTCCACCCTGCAGGGCCCCTCCTCTTTCGCTGACTCTACCATTCCCAGCATAATCTTCCTCTCCAAGGACTGGTTCCCCACAAAATAGGACCAAAGTTAAATGAGAAAAAGCTTCCCTCCAAAAAGCACTCTGGTTGAACTTTTTCCAAGACATATCCGTTTTGCTTTTTGGAAGTCCATGGGGTATTCAATACTCTTCTCCAACACTACAATTCAAAGACATTAAGTCTTCCTTATTAAGTGTTTAACTTTCAGATGCATGAGCAGCAACTGAAAATACTACAGCTTTAACTAGGCACACCTTAGTCTTTTAACTGACACTGTTGCAACATGTTTCTTACTCCTTGACTACTTCTACGGGGGTGCTGGTTGTGTTCTGTTGTTGTTAAGTGTCTTCAAGTATGACTCACAGTAATCCTATGAACAACAGAGCTGAACCTTGTCCTGTCCCGTGCAATCCTCATCATCCCTGACACACGTAAGGCCACTGCTGCATTCACTGTGTCAATACATCTTGTTGAGGGTCTTCCTCTCTTTCACTGACCTTCCACCTTTCCAAACATGATATCCCCTTCCAAGGAAAAGCCTAGCCTAGCAACATGCCCAAAATCTGTGAGTCAAAGTTTCACCATCATTGCCTCTAAGGAGCATTCTGGCTGCACTTTTTCCAAGACTTACCTCAGGTTTTGACAGTCCATGGGATATTCTTCTCTAACATCACAACTCAAAGGAATCAATTTTTCCTCTGTCATTTTATTGTCTGTCTCTCAGATGCATAGCAAGTGATTGAAAAAAACCACAGTCTGAATCAGGTGCACCTAACTCTTCAAATTGACATCATTGTTCCTCAGTAATCTGAACTATACTCACACAAATCATGTACTACACCCACACAAATATTACTCTCGCACAACACATAACAAACATAATACACTGACATATACGCAACATGTATAAACATGCAAATTATGGGCACAAATGACGCACACGTGTATAATGTACAAATGTGACAAACATCACACACAGAACTACTACAAACACAAGCACAAAAATACCACATGCACAAAACACAAATATCAAATCCACATGCAAAAATATGATGCACATAAATACTGCACGCACACAACACACAAATATGACATGTAAATATCAAACATGTACAACACATACACAAACACAGCATGAACATAAATAAAACACACAATGGCACATATACAATATGCAAACACATATGGAACGCCCATATATGTCATACAAAACGTGGCATACAAATAGGACATACACATAGCACACACAAAATATACAAGTTTATGACATACAAACATCTCACACACAACACGTATACAAGAACATCACATGCACAGAAATGTGACAAGTACATACACAACATATACATACATATGCTACTTCTGTCATGTACACACACAGAAAACCTGAACAGAACATGGCATACACACAAATGACATATACGCACATACACAACCCACATAAATATTCATGTCACATGCATACATAATACAAACAGCACACAAGCACAACTCACATCCATACGCATACACATACACGCACACACCTTAGTGTCAAAGGTCACATCTCTGGGAGATGAAAGGACACCTGGGCTTTGTTCTTCAAACTTCTTTCCTTTCTAACACGTGATTTCAAACCCTTGTCAAAAGCAGAGGAGCTCTGCTGCAGCCCCTCCCCAGAGAAAGTATCAGTCTGAGAATGAGGAACCCTGGGTGAGGGGGTGCCCACTTCCTTGGTGCCAGCGCTCTATGGTCCTGAAATCCAAATCTGAACTTTGACAAATATAGAGGAAACGTAAGTGTCAAACATATGTAGCACTCAAATAACACAAAAGTAAAACAAGAACAGCATGCCTGAGAAAGAGAAACAAGGTAGGAGGCACCTCACTCCCTGATCTCAAATGCTACCTCACGGCTATGGTGGTCAAGACAGCTTGGTAGTGGTACAGTGACAGACACACAGATTCATGGAATAAAACTTGAGGACCCAGAAATCAGCTTGTCTGCATATGGTCAACTATCTTTGACAAGGAGATGAAATCAATTAAGTGGGGAAATTAAAGCCTCTTTAACAAATGGCGTTGGCAAAACTGGAAAACTATCTGTAAAAAACTCAAGCAGGACTCAAACCTCACACCATACACAAAAACCAATTAAAAGTGGATCAAGGACCTAGGCGTAAAACCAGGGACTAGAAACTTCATCAGAGAAACACCTGAAAGAACTCTAGGAGCCCTAATCCACAATAATGAACAGTCTTCCAAACATCTTGGAAAACGTGCAACAAGAAGAGAATAAAACAAATGAGTGGTACCTTCTAAGAATCAAATCCCTATGCACGGCAAAAAACTCCAACAGGGTAAAAAAACCATGGACTGGGAAAAAATATTTGGTAGTGACATCTCTGATAAGGGACTCATTTCTAAGGTTTACAGAATACTCCAACACCTCAACAAGAAAAAGGTAAACAAGGAAGTACTAGCGGCAAGAAGCTGAGCTGGAATCCCAAAAGCACACAGCTCTAATCCACTAGAAGCTCCGCTGGAGAAAGAGGGGCCATCTCCCGTGCCAGTCCAGTCCAATTCAGCGGTACACAACAAGGAAAAAAAACAAAAAGGTTAACAACCCAGTTGCAAACTGGGCACAGGATACAGACACTCCACCCAAAGAAGACATTCAGATGGCAAACATAGGAAGAAATGTTCAAAATCTCCAGCTCGTCCCAGCAACAATAGCAGAGTTCAACAGAGCAAAAAACAACAAATGCTAGTGAGGTTGCAGAGTAACTGGAACCCTTATTCACTGGGGGTGGAAGTATAAAACACTGCAACCATTACGCAAGTGGTATGGCATGTTCTCAAAAAGCCAGACAAAAATACCATTTAACCCAGCAATTCCACTAATAGAAATACACTCTAATCAGAGATGCCACCCAAACAGATATATGCACACCCATGCTTACTGCTGGGTTTCACAATAACAAAGAGATGGAAACAACCCAAATGCCCATCAACAAATGAATGGACAGAAAAAGTATGATATACTCACACAATGGAATACTACACAGCACCGAATAACAAGGAACTCATAAAATATTACACAACATGGGCGACCCTGGAGGACATTATGCGAATGAAAGATCTCAATCACAAAAGGACAAATACAGCGTAATGCCACTGTTATAAAACAGGACTGACATGGAGGTTGGGGGAAAAGTAAGAAAAGAGGGAATAAATAATGAACACCACACTGGAACAGATGAAGAACTGCTTAAAAGGAATATATGAGGAGCTCTGGTGGCCTAATGGCAAGAAGCTTCACTGCAATCCCAAAGGCACACAGTTCAAATCCACCAGATGCTCTGCTGGAGAAGGAGGAGCAATCTCCTCCTGTGCCAGTCAGGTCCGATTAGACAGCACACAGAAAAAAACAAACAAAACCCAGGAATTTATGACTAAGCATTATTTGTATGATAATAGTCCAGAATAAGAGGTGCATAGCAAGTGGACTGGGCAGGGCAGGGGGTAAGGGAGGAAATTATGCAACAGTGAGTGAATATTTTTTTTTAAAAAAAAAGCAAACCGGGGTGGTCAGGGAGGAAAATGTCCAACAATGAATGAATGAATAAATAAATAAATAAATAAATAATCCAACTTTTATGTGAACTTTCTTAAAATCAGAATAAAGAGAAAAAAAATGTTCACTTTCAGGAGACAAGCCAGCTCCCTGAGCTGCCTCCCATTATCACTGCAGTCACTTTCCTGCTCAGGGTCCTCTCTCTAAGGAATGACAGGATGCATATAGTACGCACCACAGGATGACTCGTGCACTAGGAAACCGCATCTCGTGCCAGCTCCGTCAGAGTCCATGCCAGGCCCCCTAGAGCCCAGGTCAATCCCGCCAAGGCCCGCCAAGCGTGCACCAGCCCCATCATGGCCCAGGCCAACTCCGCTACAGCCCAATCCAGCCTCACTGGAATGGCATAGAGGCCACTAGAACTTACTTGGACACGAGGACAGCAGCTGCATCACGGGCCTTGTCACTGACAACCAAATAGGACTGAAATGCAAGGGAAAAGGACATATGTGTCACACACAGGATGCAAACCAAATTAGGACGGGAGCACTGGGATCTAAGAGGTGCCTGGCCACCACTTAACAGCTCTTTCCAGAGCAGGCCAAGCTCCTGGTTCTGTCAAGAGTTCCACTCCCCCAAACGACAGTCTGCTCTATCCAGAGCCACGTCACAGGCCTTCAGCATCATGAAGCGTGTAAGACATGCATACCTCAGTCACCAGGTGTCAGAAAGAGCAGAATCCCATAGGCACCCCCACAGCAGGCCCGCCCAGCACTGGACCAGCAGTGCATTAGCCTCCCAGCTGGTTAGTGCACAAAGCACCAGGCATCACCCACCAAATGGAAGAAGACCCCATCTTTCTGCAAATGTCAGGCTATATTAGAGACCTGCCTAAAAAGGTCTGTAGTTCTCATCTCAATTAGTGGGTTTCCAAACGCTAAATTTCAAAGGTCCTTTCTGTGGGCACAGGCTATCTGGAAGGCAGTGGAGTCAGAGCAGCAAACTTTTCTAGGCCATGTTCCCCTAGTCCTCGCACACCCACCGAGCAAGGGAGCAGCCCTCCAGCATGCTCCCTCACAGGACCAGATGACAAAGGGAACGTCCATCTGGGAGTGCACTCTGAAAAAGGAATGCCCACAGTGGACCTCAGCACTGAGATGTGCCAGGAGGTGAAGGCTGGCCACAGGACAGGCCTCATGGAGTGCTTATCAAGACATGCATTTGCACACAGTGGCACCAAGTGTTAGACAGTGTGTTTAAGTGGGGCAGCTCTGAGTAGTGGTCAGTGTGTGTTTACATGGGGCAGCTCTGAGAACTGGTCAGGATGTGTTTAAGTGGGGCAGCTCTGAGTAGTGGTCAGTATGTGTTTAAGTGTGGCAGCTCTGAGGACTGGTCAGGGTGTGTTTAAGTGTGGCAGCTCTGAGGACTGGTCAGTGTCTGTTTAAGTGGGGCAGCTCTGAGCAATGGACAGCATGTTTTTACACAGGGCCAAGCCCTGAGGATCAGTCAACTCTGCAGTCAGACCACCTAGGATCAAATCTGGATCTACTTCTAAGTGTCATACTGTCACCTAGGACTGTGACCCCCGTCTGCTAGCAGCCTCTCTCTTGTTGGTTTTGATGACGTAAGTTACCTTGTTGCGAGGTGACATGCCAACAGCAAGCAAGTAGCTGAGGCCCTCAGTTCTGCAGCCCTGGAGGAGCTGCGGTCACTGAGCCTGGACAAAAAGCCCAGAGGACCATGAGCGCAGAGGACACTAACCAGGCACGGGCTCCTGACCTTCAGCAGTGAGAGTCAAGTAAGCGTTGTGCTAAGCCACTAAATATGAAGGCAACTTTTGACACAGCATTTACTGATGCAACAAGTTATCTGTGCTCTTAATATTTGCATTAGGAAAAGGTAAATACGCAAAAATGCATAAATGTTATCTCTTGGCACTAGAATTAAGGAGATTTCAATTTAATGGTTTTTCTTGTTTTTCTTTCAGTTTAAGTTTCCTGCAATATTCTTATCTAATTTACATAATCTTAAAAACAAAATGTCAACAGAGCTCTCGTTTCTCCTTCAGTGACCCAAAACCTCTCACCACTATTATGCTCCACAGACCACCTGAAATATCTCAAAAGCAATTGAGATTTTGCTATGGTAATTCAGCCTAACATTGCAGGAACTATCGTAATTTCAAAATAAACTGTGAAGCAGGATTCTCTTCACTGAAGATCAAGATCAGGAGTGGCAGAAATACATCCAGGTCAGCTTGCCAAATAGAGCACTGATATCAGACAGAAGGGAGGTCTGGTGGCTTAATGGTAAGGCGTTGCACCGTCAACCCAAAAGTGGGCAATTCAAATTCACCGGCTATTCTGAGGGAGAAAGATGGGCAACCTCTTCCCACACCATGTACAACCTCTGAAAATCCACTGGAAGGCCTGCTGTGAGTGGGTCCCAACCCCGTGGCAACAACATCATCAAGACAAAAAAAGCAAGCACATGATCTGGATCAGCCATGGTTACCTCTGCGATCTGGAGAATGCGGTCCATTATGGACAGCTGTGCTGGCCCAGGCTGAGTGTCAAGGTTCCCGTCAAGGCGTGAGAAGTCGAAAGGAATCAGGCAGGTCATGGAGAGCCACAGTAACAGCATGTAACGAGTTTCCCAAGTCTAAGAAGTTATGACAAAATAAATCCAAGTAACAAGTGAGTGTAAGAAACCTTGCTAAGAGTGATCCTTGAATAAAGAGCACAGCGAACCACCACCTCCCACTCACAGGCCTGTGGCCCCTCCAAGCCCTGCCCTCCGTACACGCCCACCCAGAGCCAGTGGACACCAGCCTTGGCGCTCCCACTTCTCTCCCAGTACACACCCACTGGCACAACAGACAAAGACATGAGAGCTGAACTCAGCTTTGCTGGCCATGAAAGATTGCTAAGGGACAGAGGATGGAAAGAGCAAAGACAGTCCCCTAGAGCCAAAAGAGACAAAGACCTCCACCGAGGCAGCATCCTGCTCCAACTTCAAGACTCCCAAAATGTGACAAAACAATTTCTTTAGTCAAAATTAAATAAAAAATAAAGATACAATGCCAACTATTCACAAAAAAGTTAGCTGAGTCAGAACCGACTCACGGTGGACTCTCTAGCAGGTTTTCAGAGGCTGTAAATTACACAGGGAAATGCCTATCCTCCTCCCTCAGACCTGCAGGTGAATCTGGACTACCAGACACTCCACCTTTGAGTTAACAGCACAACTTCCTACAGAATAAACCACCAAAATCCCCTCACAAATAACAATTAGCCCCTAAAAAAAAGTGAAGAGAGGAAACTGGCAATCTGTAGGCACAGCAGCTTCACCTCCTGGGACCATCAACGTGCTGCTGCCCACAGAGAGCACTAAAGCAGACAGAACACAGAAAGGCTAGAGAGCAGGTCAAAGCTCCAACCAATAAAGGTGTCCTTACTTTACACAGCAAGGGATATGGGCATTCTCACTGAGCCTGAGATCAGGCCGCAACAGAGATTCACTGGGCCAAGGAATTTACACCATGCGTGCTCCATGCACTCATAGCCACAGGCAGGCCTGCAGCAGAACTAGACTCAGACCAGCTCCAGGAAACCTGGATTTCAAGAGGGCTCCCGTAATTTCCTAAATGCATCGTTTCCATTTTGGCAGACACAAACAGCACACAGTGTGGTTTATAACCCCTCCTGGGCCCAGAGTTTGAGGTTCTCGGAAAGACCAGGCAGGGTGCTACATGACCAGCCCCTGTGAAACCCTGGGTGCCACATCTCCCGGAGACAGCCCTTCCCCCACAATGTAACAACCCCTGCTGGAGGAACCTACAGGTGCCACTTTGCTTTTGCTGATTCACTGTGATACATCTTAGCATGAACTCAGTTATGCTGAACCCAGGGACACTCCCGCTGTGTGTCCCAGACAGACGGAGGTCTTAAGACCTGACAGTTACACCAAATCTGAAACACCTTAAATAGTTAAGATTTATCTCCACACTGTACCTAGACATTTTTTTTCTTTAGAAATGGCCTTTTAAAAAGGGGGAAAGAGAACCAAAGCAACCTACAGAAGGAGGAATATTCTAAAAAGTCAAAGAAATAAAAGGAAAGGGGAGAGTGATAAAGAAATGGCAGGAAGAAAAAATGAAGTAAAATGAAGTCAAATTAAGCAGGTCACAGAAGTAGTCAGTGAGGAGATGGACAAGTGGGAGGTAAAGATGCAGAGGGTCAGAGGAGAGACAGGCACTCACTTCATGATCTCTGGGATTCTGATCTGAAAGCATGTCCAGAACAGGCTGTACATCTGCTACTTCGTGAGGAAATAAACGAAGAAATATCTTATATCCTCGGACCTTCCAAATTAAAAAAAAAATCAAATTATTACACAGTTAAAAAACAAAGAGAAGTACAATTCAAAAATCACCAACCATGCCTCAATGATCAAGTTGATGACTTCACATTATGGTGAGATAATCCAGTTAGTTGTTGTTGTTGTTAAGCGACCCTATGAACGAAAGACCTGAACACTTGTATAACTTTCATCCTTTCTCCAAGTTCATAAAGTTTCTAGAGGCAAGCTATTTCGGAAGTGGATGCCACTCCTGCTTCCAAGCTTAATTGGGGAGCTCCACCAAACACTGTCCACCAGTAAGAGTAAAGCGAAAATAAGCTATTCTTGCTCCTGAAATCATTTCATTCATTAACTAGGTCTCATCCTGATCAACCTTACATGTGGCTCATACATGTTACTAGTTGAAAAGTGAGCTTCTAATTGTAGAACTATCCGAGGTTCATGAGGAACAGGTCTCCAAAAAACCTCAACACATCCCAAGTTCTCCAAGACTCCCTAGCATATCATCATCATATTTTATGCTGCCCCTTGGGGAGGAATCCTGCCCTCAACTACCTGAACTGCAGAACAATGTGTGCCGAGCTCTAACCTCAGTCTATTAGGTAGGGCCTGTCCACTGTCCAACAGCTACAAGGTGCACCCCCAGAGCCACAAGCCCTCCCTGAAATGCTGGTGTCCCTCCCACATCCCTGGAAACCTGGATGTCAGACCTGGTTAATCAGAGACTAAATTCTAAAAGACCCTCGTGAAGTTCATAAACACACTCAAGTTTGAGAAGTACATCTACTCCTATGAAACCTGTCTGCTGCTTTCCTCCTGAGAGGCTCACACCAGCATGTTCTCCCTCTTCTCGCCAACTTCGATCCAAGCTAGTCAAGTGCAACATGCTATTATATATCTAGACCTAGTTTCAGCCAAAGGATTCCCTCTATCGGTGAGCTCAAATCCCCACAAATGGTAAGAGAAAGAGGCCCACAACTTGCTTGAGAACCACCCCTCCTGTGAAACAACACTGTGTAGGATTTTTTTCTGACCAACCATTGACCCTAAAGGGCCATGTGAATATTACCTTAGTGATGATGTAGAGAAATTTAAAAGCCAGGTGTACGAGGGTCGGTGGAGACGTCTTATCTTGTACTATGTCCAACAACAAGTTCATCATCCATTCTGGAGGAAAAATATACACCAAGCAGGTGTCGCAACATTAAACAGACTATACAAATAGAAAGGAGCTCTGATAGCCTGGTGGTAAGAAGCTGCACTGCAATCCCAAAGGCACATGGTTCAAATCCACCAAATGCCCCACAAGAAGAGGATGGGCAGTCTCCTCCCAAGTGATTCACTCCCTCTGAAAACCCTCTCGAGGGTCAATTATGAGTGGGTTCTGACTTGACAGCAAACAACAAAAATAATAATACAGAAATGTCAAAAAATACAACAGAAAGCTAACAATAAATGTATTGAAACATATTCACCCTTGTGAGAAAACAACAAAATGCAAACTCAATAAATTAAGGGGCCCTGGTGGCACAGTGGTTACAGCTTTTGGCTTTTACAGAAAGGTCAACAGTTCAAAATCACCTGTAACTCAGCACTGAGAAAGATGTGGCAACATGCCTACATAAAGATTAAAACCAAACCAAGCAACTGTGAAGATTTCGGTTGGACAGAGCAGCCGGTGAGCCGCACGGGGTCCTGGCAGGGTGTCAGGGATCACAGCATCCAACAGCCACCAAACTTCAAACCAATAGAGGAAGAAAGCAGCAAATATTGGATTGAATGAAACCCAAAAACAGGGAATTAAAGAGGCCTTTGATTTGTTTGATATTGATGATCTGGAACCAAAGATATGAAAGAATTGAAGACTGCAATGCGAGCTTTAGGATTTGAACCAAAGAAAGATGAAATTTAAAAAATGACAGCTGAAATTGATAAAAAACGAACTGCACCAATGCTTTTGAAGATTTTTCTTCCCCATAATGAGTGCAAAAATGAGTGAAAAAGATCAAAATGAAGAAATACTAAAGGTTTTCCAATGCTATGATGACGGTATAGGAAGCATAACACTAAGCAATATTAAGAGAGTTACTAAGGAACTAGGAGAAAATTGAACAGATGAAATACGTTAGGAAATGCCTGATGAGGCTGCATGACGGTAAAGGAACAATAAGGGAGGAAGAATTTTTGAAAATGATGAAAAAGACCTCTCTTTACTAAGGCTGCTCCTTTCTGGGGAACTGTTTGAGATATGGATTAGTTATACAATTCTACATTTGAGTCTCTAAATGTATTAGTTTTCAATTTTTACTCCATGTGGCAAATGACATATTTCTACCAATATACATTAAATCTGTTGCATCAATAAACAGTGAAAAGCAAATTACTTACTTTGATTCCAAGAAGAGTATTAATTTCAAATGCCATCTGCAACACCCCAAGTCCCAAACACTTACAATATATTCTAAGTTTCATGAACTTGGCCTTATAGTCAAATAATTTGGCAAATATGTCATTAACCTTTTTTTAATATTTTCCTTTTCTGTACAATTAATGATTTATTCATTGCAAGTATCTTTATTATTAATTTCAACGAAAATTTACAGAAACTTTGGATTTCCATTCATTCATTGCTGTACTTTTCTCCCCTCCCAATTCTCCCCCCAAGTACACTACCCTCTTGGAAAAGTAATAGAAAAATTCTTTCATTGTTTTACAATCCCTCCCCCCAGGTCCACTCCACTATGGAGTCTTCACTCTGGACTCCTGTCATGACAAAAATACCTAATCACATATCCCTCTTAAACAGTTTTCTCCCTCATCTCTTTCAATGCAGTATACATTATTGAACCCATCTTTCTCAGTCTTCCCCAACCCCAAGATCAGTCCTGTTTTACAACAGTGGCACCATGCAGTATTTGTCTTTTCTAATATTTTCTTCTTGGGTAATTAAAAAACCTAAAGAGCATTTCATTTTTAATCTGTTATTCCTGTATGTAAGGTATTAAATAAAAATTGGCAACTATTAAAAAAACAAACAAGCCACCAAAACCAACCCATTTTTGTTGACTCAGTTCTAACTCCTAGCAGACCAAACAGGTAAAAAGGGTCTCTTCCATGGAAGTTCCAAACAACTAGACTGAGGTGCACCTGATCCAGGCCATGGTCTTTTCAATCACTTGCTAATGTATCTGAGAGCTGGACAATGAATGAAGATGACAGAAAAATCATCGATGCATCTGAGCTGTGGTGTTGGAGAAGAGTAATGAATATCCCATGGATGGCCAAAAGAACAAACAGGTATGTCTTAGGGTGCAACCAGAGTGCTCCATGGAGGCAAAGATGACATTTCGTCTCACATACTTTGGGCAGGGTGATAGGAAGAGTCAGTTCTTGGAGAAGGTCATTATCCTTGGAAATGTGGAGAATCCATGAAAGAGATGACCCTCAATGGCATGGACTGACACAGTGGTTGCAGCAATGGTCTCGAGTATGTCACAGATGAAAATGGTACAGGATAGAATAGAGTTCAGATGTGTTGTTAATAAGGTTGCTATGAGTGAAATTCAACTCAATGGCACCTGCTATCATCACTCCACGTCACAGGAGCAATGGACCTGGAACTCGGGCACTCTGCCCCAAGCTGCCTCACTACCACCTCCCACCTTACCCGTCACTGCTAGGAGCACATGCTACTTCCACTGACAGAAAAGGAAGTTTTTAAGCTAGTATAAAACAAGCAAAACAGACACAAAATACCTAGATAAGGTTCAGTGCCTTCTCAGGCTGTGAAACGAGGATGACCAAGAGGTCCATTCTTAGCTGGTCCCCCATGTAAACACCTGGTCTTGTGTGACCATTAGCAGAAAGACAAAATGTGCCTCTGTAAGGGATGAAAACACACACCTTACAAAGGCCTGTTCCTCTAGTAACAGCAAGTAAGCAAGCACTCAACAAATCTGTCCCCCAGCCTAGTACGATGTCTGGAGCCCAGGTCACCAGCACAGGCCACTGCAAACGGTACGCCCAGTACTGTGCAGGTACCACACACTGTGACCTTTCCTGGCACTTCCTCCTGACTGAACAATGGAAATCGGAGCCCTCAGGCACAGCTCTTACCAAGGTGAGGGTCCAACAAGTGTGGCTGTTCCTGGTACTTGTCCATTATCACTGGAAAGAAGAAGAAGAAATGAGAAGGAGGCAGTATCACTGGCTATGCCCAACCACGTCACAGCATCATCCTTGCTGCCCAAGCTGCTCTCAAGAGAGCTGGCTGTCCGTGCCACCCTGCACATGCTGCCTGCCCTGTACACCCTGATCACGGCCAGCACATACTGCCCACCCTGCCCACGCTGCACACCCTGCCCATGGCCAGCACATGCTGCCCGGCCAGCACACATTGTG